TACTAGGTCGAGTCGTTATGATTCCAGGTTGTATTTGATCTTGTCCCCCACTAGACGTTCCTTGTCCCTCTTCCTCAACGTTTGTTCCCCCACTTGTCTGTTTTGCTTGCTTCGACGTGATTAGTGGCAAATGATCCTCCGCCCCGAGTCTGAATCCTCCGTGATTTCCAAATTTTGGAATCGTGACTTCTTTCCTATGGTGCTATGGAAAGTTCCCCTGGTGCCTTTGGAGCTGCTTGGCTGGTTACCTCGCGTCAGTAACTTTCTCTTTAGGTCCCCTGGCGTTGGTGGTGCCGCGATTTGTCCCGGTGCCCGTTTCTTTGGAACTTTTGCTTTCTTTAGTGCTTTTGCTTTCTTTCATTTCAATAGTATGCTTACTTTGATTAGCTATGTCCGAATTTAATGGTCTATACCTATTTAAAATCCGCTCCCCGGTCCTCTGCATCACCACTGCCGGTGGTATTTCTACTGGGCCACTTGGTTCCCGCACAATTCCAGGCTCGTCATCCTGGTTAGTGGCCTGGTCATCGGCCAATTTCAGGGGTTTTCGCCTATTTTTCAGGTCGTACTCAGTGTCCGATCGGATTCCCCAGTTGGTATCCATAGACTCCGGCATTGCTTGGGCAATTGGGTCTCGTTCATCTAAACATGCAGATTTAGATCGTATTACATTTTCCCAATTTAGGTTTCGTAAAGTAGGCTTTTTAGTCAGTTTTCTGAGAACGGTGTTAGCTTCCCGGCCGTGGTGCGCTTCGAACGGTGTTATGTTGAGGGTGGCGTTTTTAACAAATCTTAAAGCTCCGAGGGCTCTTTCGACCATTCGATCCAAGGGTTCCGGTTTACCCTCCCGCGCATACGTAAGTACTGAATTCTTGATGCTGCCAATCGTGCGTTCGACACATCTTGTTGCCCTATGATCATTCACTGGCGAGATGAGGATTTCAATTCCTTGTTCATGACAAAATGCCCTAACCTCCTTAGACATAAAGTTTGTTCCTTGATCAACTCGAATTTGGCGCGGAACTCCATGGGCAAATATGTACGCTTTTAAAAATTTAATAATTTTATCCGATCTGTTCGAATTACAGACCATAGCCGATGGCCAACGTGAGAACAGATCCACCGCCACCAAAACATATCTTTTAGACTCCTTCAAGAAGTTATCGGGCCCCCAGAAATCCAGGTCATAACTGCAAGATAAGAGACGCTTAATACATCACTACTTTTTTCAACAACAAAAAAAAATAATTGATTTTAAAGTGCAAACTGAACATTTGAGGCTTTGCCTTGACAAACAAGCAGTCTTGTTTTAACAAATGAGAACAAAATTAATTGACAGACCTCATCATCCTATTGCAGAATTTGTCTTATTGTAAAAAGTATATTGCAAATGTCTGGCGGCGGTCTGTAACTTTCGTATACCGATAAAGGTTTATTTTGGGAATGGCAGGCTCAAAACACTGAGAAAAGACGGTTTCGATGTGTTAATTTTAATCCTTTTGAGTAAGTAACCGTAGTTTAGAAAGTTAGTCGGAGACAATAAAACAGCTGTCATCCGAAGGTGACAGACAAACTCCGAAAACTAAATACCAGTTAGCGCTAGACAGATAAATGAATTAAGTAGCACAACTAGAAATGGAACTTGAACTAAATTTAGATATTATGACATTTCCCTCCTTGTAAAAATTAATGACTCTAATCACGTATCCAATGCATCGATGTTAACAGTAATCAATAGGGTTAATAACAAGTTTTGTCAATCAACTACAACACCTTTAAAACACAAACTTTTGAGTTTTTGCCGTTTAACAGCATGCCCTCTCCCTGGACCTACATATGAACAGTTTTGTAAATTGTTTCTATAAGTTTGTTACTCATACTTCTTTTTCTTCTCCTTTTCATTTAGCTCCTGACTTATCCGTCTTTTGGATGTTATCGATCTTGACTGCCCCCATCTTAGTCACTGCGGTTCGTTTTCTTTCCGACCTTCTAGGACTAGCTGAATCCTGACTTGAGTAGGAAACAAGTCGTTGTTTCCGACCCCGCTTTTTCTCTTTGGTTTCTGGAATTTCTGGAATTTGCTCCGCCTCGAGTTCCGTCTCCTGTGGTGTGATTCCTCCGGTATCTCCCTTCCTTTGGTTCATTGCGATTTCCTGCTCGAGTGCGATTGTGTAGTCTGTCACTGTCTCGTAATTACTAGGTCGAGTTGTTATGATTTCAGGTTGTATTTGTCCTGTCCCCCACTAGACATTCCTTGTCCCTCTTCCCCAACGTTTGTTCCCCCACTTGTCTGTTTTGCTTGCTTCGATGTGATTAGTGGCAAATGATCCTCCGCATCCGAGTCTGAATCCTCCGTGATTTCCAAATTTTGAAATCGTGACTTCTTTCCTATGGTGCTATGGAAAGTTCCCCTGGTGCCTTTGGAGCTGCTTGGCTGGTTACCTCGCGTCAGTAACTTTCTCTTTAGGTCCCTGGCGTTGGTGGTGCCGCGATTTGTCCCGGTGCCCGTTTCTTTGGAACTTTTGCTTTCTTTAGTGCTACTCCCGATTTTCTAAGCACAGCACCATTACTCATTTCAATAGTATGCTTACTTTGATTAACTATGTCCGAATTTAATGGTCCATACCTATTTAAATTCCGCTCCCCGGTCCTCTGCATCACCACTGCCGGTGGTATTTCTACTGGGTCACTTGGTGCCCGCACAATTCCAGGCTCGTCATCCTGGTTAGTGGCCTGGTCATCGGCCAATTTCAGGGGTTTTCGCCTATTTTTCAGGTCGTACTCAGTGTCCGATCGGATTCCCCAGTTGGTATCCATAGGCTCCGGTATTGCTTGGGCGATTGGGTCTCGTTCATCTAAACATGCAGATTTAGATCGTATTACATTTTCCCAATTTAGGTTTCGTAAAGTAGGCTTTTTAGTCAGTTTTCTGAGAACGGTGTTAGCTTCCCGGCCGTGGTGCGCTTCGAACGGTGTTATGTTGAGGGTGGCGTTTTTAACAAATCTTAAAGCTCCGAGGGCTCTTTCGACCATTCGATCCAAGGGTTCCGGTTTATCCTCCCGCACATACGTAAGTACTGAATTCTTGATGCTGTCAATCGTGCGTTCGACACATCTTGTTGCCCTATGATCATTCACTGGCGAGATGAGGATTTCAATCCCTTGTTCATGACAAAATGCCCTAACCTCCTTAGACATAAAGTTTGTTCCTTGATCGTCCACTGAGTGGAACTGTTCCAACAATTCTCCTATTTGTTGCTTCCGTGCCAATAGTTGGAATGTCTCGTAAGTTTCGTTCCGTTCCTTCTTAAATTCTGTTCCAATATTATCCAATACTCTAGAGTACCTTGTTGTAGATAAATTCAGGTGTGGTTTCTTCTTATGTAGCTCATCCTGTCCCTTCTCCCCCAGACACAAATACAAGTTCGAGATAAGCGTTTGCTCCGACGCCAGGCGATCTTTTCCGTCTACCTCCACTGGTAAATCTGTAACCTGCGCTGCAGTGAACGTACTGGCATAATAGAAATTCTTTGGGTTTATACTATATTTGGCCACCATCCCCCATTGAAAACGATTGAACCAAAACTCCCATAGCATTGGTGGCTCTGCAAACGTCGAGGGCCAAAAAGATGTAATCCCCAGCGGGTTTTTCCCCCCACTTTGGCCTGTTGGCTGCGCCATGGGAAAAGACGGTTTCGATGTGTTAATATTAATCCTTTTGAGTAAGTAACCGTAGTTTAGAAAGTTAGTCGGAGACAATAAAATAGCTGTCATCCGAAGGTGACAGACAAACTCCGAAGATTAAATACCAGTTAGCGCCAGACAGATAAATGAATTAAGTAGCACAACTAGAAATGGAACTTGAACTAAATTTAGATACTATGACAACACGTATCAGCTCGTTTGTGGGAATTAAACATTTGAGCTAATTGATCATAAAATAAAACAAGACTGCTCGTATCAGGGCGAAGCCCTGAATGTTCCGACTGCCTTTTAAGGTTTATGGAGCAGCAGTAATAACATAAACAATTTAAATGAAATACAATAAAATAAAATGAAAAAATTTTTATCTAAAATTTGAAATTTTTAATGAAAATCATCCCCCCGTCGTCGTCTCATTTGGTAGTCAAAATTTGTCTGAAGAAAAAAACCCACCCCGAGCACAAAAATTCCGTTACTTTCGTATCGAAAGTCGGAACAATAATATTTCATGGGATGAATTCTGCCGTTATATCAACATACGACTAAATCTGCCTGTTCGTCTCTTAGTGGGAGGTAATTTGAAAGCGAAATCTGTTAGCCCTTTCTTTTTCAAAGTTTTTAGGATTGATTAAAAATTCGAGTAGGTCTGATCAGCAACAGGGGCGGATCTAGGATTTTCTCGAGGGGGGTGGGGCGGATATTTTTCGAAAATTTTGACGACCTTTTTTTTAGGTCGACCAAATTGATTTTCCGAACTTTCCAAAAGAACTAAAAGACAGGCTGTTTTGATCAAATTTTCTGCGCCAAATTTTTGAAAAAACAGGTAAAAAACCGTTTTTGGGCACTTTTTGGAAAATTTTGAAAAAAATCGGGTTTTTTTTGGCGCGAGCTCTCCCCTCAAAGTAAGTATATATTGGCGCCAAAAGCACCTTTCGAAAAATTTTAGGGTCCGTCACCAAAGATGGATATCTCAAAATAGTGCAAAGGCGGGGCTCTTTGGATAGGCAGGGGGTCGAATCCCTGGAAGAAAGGGGGCGTCCGCCCCCCTTCCCCTAAATCCGCCCCTGATCAGCAACATAGCTAAGAACTACAAACAACAAAAGTAGGTCAGACAATCAACAGACTGTGCGTTAATTAATATAAATTTTTAAATACTCGGTTTTGTTTGTATATATGCAATCAGGCCGATGTGAACTGAACAGCTGACCCCTTGAATTAGCCAAGTGAACTATCAACCGCAGATTTTAATAATAAAAGGATGAAATAGAAAATTGAATAAAAATAAAAAGCGTCCCCACCTAGAATGTTCCTGTGGGATAGTTTCTGGGTGAAGAATGGTTTCGTCTCCTCGTATCTCTTAGGCACCGAATTGTATCTGGGGGTGCCAACGAGGCCCTGGGGAACTTCCCCGTCATAGAAACTGTCATCTGGACTTAACTGGTCCTTCGGTGGGGGATTGATCACGCTCATCTAGTCTCACACTCCCTCTCTCAATCACTCTAATGGGTTCAAATATTTTTCCAGCTCCCCCTCAGCCCCCGTCTAATGAACCCTTTTTTTTACAATTGAAACAGTCGGCAATTTAAAAAAAATCGTCCCTCAAGTTCAAAGCCTCAAACACACACTTTCAATTCCACGTGTTCGGTGTTGATTTTGATAAAAAACATATCAAACACGTCAAACACGTCATATTTACTATAAAAAATGACTATAAAAAATAACAATTTTTGCAAAAATTTCTCCACTAGTCGAATAGCCACAAAATCAAAATTCAGAAGGTTTTGTGATTAATTTTTCGGATGAGCGCAGAGGGAATTGAGGAGGGGGAACTGGGAAAAGAACCTGGCAGGGTAAATGTTTGCTAGCCAACGAAACAATTTCACGATTTCAGATGAGGTAATTCTTATTGACGGAAATTCGATCCACTTTATAATTTCTGAAGAGTATAATCAGTTTTTTACATTCGAAAACACACTAAAATGAGTTTTATTTTTGATATAGCATATTTATATACATGCATTATTCACCATACAATTTTTGCAAATGTATACATTATTCATGATTATTTTTGTGCTCTTTATTGTAAAGCCACGAAAAACGTGCTTGTTATTTGTTCATAGTGTTGAGAAAACAAAGATGGTTTTAGCGTACCCAATGTTCTCCTCAATCCAATTCAGCCACAAAATTTAGAAAAATTCAAACAAAGAAAGTTCAGCTTAATTGGAGAAAAAATTCAGCCGAAGTTTGACTGATAACAAAAAAAATTCGCAGCACTGGCAGTTAAAAAATAAATGCCAGTTACATTCGCTTAATTAAGTTTTTGGGAACCGGGCATATATTGCCTGTAAATTGACTTTTATTGTTCTAACCAGAAATTGGCCTCTCTGAAAAAGATTATTTGACAAGAGTTTTTTCTTATTTGAATTGTCTTAAATGTAATGTGAAAAGCTGTTTGCTTTTTAGTTGATACGAGTCGCCTAGTCGTAGTGTTGGAGAATTATAATAAAAAATAAAAGGGTTTTCAAAACTATCCCTGAGAAAAGCCGAAACCGATACATCCAAATCCAGAAGAATTTGTGCTCAGTTTTTCCGGGACGAAAGGAGAAAGGAAAATTGACACTCAGAAAAGTCATTCGCTGTGTCATAATTTACCAAGCAAAGTGATCTGTTTTGGGTCCAGTTCATTTGGGTCGAGGTCAATCCGCGACTAAAATTAATAGTACGGACAGGATTAGTCTGGACGTCAGTATCGGCATCATAGCGTACTTGGAATTTACGCATAATTCAGTTATAAGTCCTAGAAACGATATTTGGAAGGACAAATTAATTTTTGAAGTCTTGATTGCAAAATGAAAACGCGCTCAAATTTCTAAACTTAGGTAAAAAGAAATATATACATAGAGCAATTGGTATTGATAAATAAAACAAAAAATCAAATAGCGGGCTAAACCAATTCACATACAAGTTTTGAAAATTCTTGGTGGGTTATGCTGATTGCGGAAATATTTTGTGGATGGTTTTTTGTCGCAAAAATTGCATCGGTTGCAAAAAAAAGCCGGTTGATGACAACGTTTTTAATGAATTCGCGTGTGCCGATTGCGGATAAACTATTTTTGGATAACACCTGTTGTCGACTACTTTTCTCCGGTCGCATCGGTTGCAGAAACGTTTTCTAAGATCGCTTCGGCTGCCGTCAGTTTTTTCTGTCGCTTTTTGTCTGTCATTTTCAATTGAATATATAACAAGTTTTGAGGTTTGATGGGCTTTTTTATGCCCCCTAAATGAAGATTTTTGCAGCTTAAACAAAGAAAGTTTCCAGAATTTGATCTAATCTACAGGCAAAACGGATTCTTTTGACAAAATCTAAAAATGAATTGAGGAAAAAACGTTTAAGGTTTTTTAGATGACAGTTTGTTCAAACTTCCTTGTCTCATGAGCATATTTTACTTTTTAACAGTTATATCGAATGACTGAAATGTTCATTTTAATTTCCTTTTTTATCGTTTAGCCTTTGTTTAGTCTTGCTGAAGTAGTCAAAAAACGCTAAGAATTTTGCTACACTCGCCACCGCCACGTTTGGTCTAAAATTAATTCACCTGTGATTATTTTTTGTAAAGTTATGGACGTTTAAAGATTGTCATTTTGTCCAACTTGGGACAATTAACGCGCGATATATTTCCAGCTATTAACGCGTCAGCGGAAATTTAATCCGTCTTAGAAATTGCTCCAATTTAGTTGAAGGAAGCTTATATGCCAAAACTGATTTGTTACTTTTTACTTTATATGCCGTGTGGTGGGATGATTTTCATAAAAAGTCTCAAATTTAAAAAAATATATCTTTTTAATTTCTTACATTTAACTTTTTCTTGTGTTTGCTGCTCTTGAAAAGGCTCTCGGAACTTTCAGGGCTTCGCTTTGATACGAGCAGTTTTGTTGATTCGACTTTCGTAACGAAAGTAAGGTAATATTTTGCTCGGGGTGGTTTTTTTCTTCTGACAAATTTCGGCTCTTTAACTACCCATTTTTGACGAAATTGTTTTATGTCATGCAAAAGGTATTGTTGTTGTAAGCTTAAAATTGAAAGTGTCATTTGAAGAGGGGTTTGAAGAGTGTCATTTTGGCCAGTTTGGGACAATTATCGCGCGATACATTTCGCGCTATTAAGCGTAAGCGGAGATTTTATCCGTCTTAGAAATCGTTCCAAATTGGTTGAAGGAAGTTTCTTTGCCATAATTGATTTGTTATTGGGAGTTAAATCTATCACTTTGTATGTTATATGGCATGTGGGGGGATGACTTTGAGTTATATATGACTTTTTGAGAGATATGTGTGGAGAGATGGTTTTCACAAAAAAAAATCTCAAACAAATTTTTTTTTCATATGGTTACATTTAACTTTTTGCTTATTAATACTGCTCCGTAGACCTTAAAAGGCAATCGGAATATTTAGGGTTTCGCCTTGATACGAGCAGTCTTGTTTGACTAAATGATAGGCTACCTGATTTTCCTGTAGTTTTTTCAATGTCCGAAAGAATGTTCTCCTTTTGCAATGTGAATTTCAAGTTCAATTTGATCTGGAAAAACATTCATGAATAGGGGTAGGATAGGATTACCAACAATGCTAAACATTCATTAGTGTACTCAATTGATTCAGAAGTCGAGCCGGTTCAGACTGAGGCTCTAACTGCGCATACAACTAAAAATACAATCAAAAATGCCTAAAAACAGCTAGATTTTGATCTAAAAAAAGATTGGTCCAAATTAATTATTCAGGCATTTTGGCCTCGTAATGATTACAGGGGAGTTAATTTGCCAGCAAATTGTTTGATTAAATTGGCTTTTAAGTATTTTTTACCAAGCGACTTTTTTCTTAAATCACTAGCTCTAACTCGTATCCAGTGGATTTTTTACCAGGCGATTTGGAACTATTTTAAGCTCCAAATTAAGCTGCCCTAAAAAGAAGTATTTTTGCTTACATTTAGCGTAAATATTTCATAGCATGCTATTTATTTAATTAAATTGATGCTTATTGGAAAACTGGCAGAACTTGAGTGAGAGAATAGTATATCTGTAGAATGTCTTTTGTCTGTTACCACTAAATTTATGCTCGCGTATGGGTTTTTGTGTGCCTTGAATAACTTTCTGTTGTTTATTGTCTGTTTTTTATAGTCCTTCTTTAATCAGAAAAAAAATGTTCTCTTATTTTCTGTTTATAGAGAAGCGCAGACATTATATTTTTTTTGTAAAAGGCTAAATGAAAGTAATTGTTCGATTCTATAAGTGGAAACAAAGAAAGTTTTTTTAAAACTCTTGAACATAATTTGAAAGAAACTACTTCTCTTTAATCAAACGGCGAATTCGTCTTGTTTTTGTGTTTTTTTTTAGCTCTCATCGCTTTGATTGACAATCTGATAAGCCCTTTGTATTGTAAAACATCACTTCAATTTTTAATTTTTATGGTGAAACTCAATTGTGACAACAGAGGTTACGACAAGCTAATTAATTTAAGTTTTGCACATCAAAAATATCCTAAATCAAGGATATAGCAAATTGATTAGAAGTTTATTTTTACCGTAAAAGGATCGTTCTTATTCTAAAATATCAAATGCGAGGCTGAAATTATGCAAGAGAGATTCGTTCTAGAGTTTAGAGAAAAACCTCGGAAAAGTCAAAATTTTAAAAAAAAAACTATAATAGAATAGATATTTTAATTTCTGCGGTTCGCAGAGGTTCTATCAAAAGCTATCCAGTCTGTCTAAGGTTTTGAATTCCATCCCCACGTTCCAGACCAAGTTAATTCCTTATTTCGTTGACTGATTTTCTTTTTTTTGCGGCTCAAGGCCGTTTGTTGGCCTCAAGAATATTCAGATCGTACCACTGAATTGGCCGAAATAAATCAGGCTGCGGTAGAAGCGAAGCTAGAGGTCAAGTTTGATCTCATCCTCACACACTCTTATAGCCACGGCAGATCCCAAAACGCACAGCGCCTCATGCACTATGCTAAGTGCACTTTGCTCTGTGATCATCCTCATAAAAACATACTATCATTGCCATAGCAAAATTTTCTCATCCATCTCACCGTGAAAAACTAAACCACTCACGAATTTAGCAACTCACAAAAATATCGAAACAAGTTAATATTTTTATCCAAATGAGAATATTGACACAAGTTTCGGCAGCCGCAAAAAATGAGATAAATTTAATTTAAAATTTAACATTGACAATCAATCGTTTTATTTTTTTTCATTAGTTATTTGCTCGATAGTTTTCATTTCATTAATTTTTTTTTTGAAACTGGTCATTCATGAACTTTTCACAAGTTGTAAAGTAATTAAAATTTATCACACGACTCGATAGTATTATAGCTTTATGGATTAATTTTTTCACCGGCTTCCTCAGAGCAAATTGTCGAATCAACAACCGAAACAAAAAACTACAGGACAGTTTTTGGAAACAAGAATGTCAACTTAATGAGTGTTTTTAATAGATTTTAAGGGACAATCAATTTTTTTAATGGTTCAACTATTATTGTTAGAATCAAATATCTTGATCAGACTATTAAAAGACTACAACGAAATATATTTAACAAGAAAAAGTTTGAGACTCTAAAACGCTTAACTGGGCATTATCATCTCTACAATGCTACTGATTTACATCTCTACGAAATATTTCAATTGAAAAAAAAAGTAGCAATGACTTAAAACTAATTCGATTTTAAATAAACTAAAAAATTATTCCGCTCAGATTTTTTTGAAATTTAGAGACCTCAGACTTCAAACAAAAACTTAAGTCAGTGAAACTGAAAGGCTTTCATGGAGCCATTTGTTTTGCGACGTAGCATTAGAAATTGTAGTGAACCCAGACAATTTTAATGAATTCAAAAATCCATATTTATAATAAACGATTGCTTCGGATTTTTTTGTAAGTAGTTCGTAACGCTAAGTGAGTTTGCAACCTAGTTAATTTTTTGAGACAATTTTAAAAATATTGTTTTTTAGCATCAAAAAAACCCTCCGCCTGAAGTTAAAATCCTGCGCACAAATGATTATTTTAAAATAATTTCACTAAGTGTTGCAGGTAAGAAAAGTTTCTCTGATGGGCTGAAAGTTCCAATTTAGAACCAGGCTGTTATCTTTTTACCCTACAACATAGTGTGAAAAGGGCGAGGTAGTTAACGTGATCACTTTTTCGTTTCAGAAACACAAGAAGTGACAATCCTGATAGAGTACATAAACTAAAACACAATGGTACCAGGCTCCTGCTGATCTGTCAGGGTTTTTTTCCACTAGTTTTTCAATAATAATGATCTTTCAGGAGAGAAATTTATCACTTGTTTCTTTGTTACAGATGAAAAACTCCAATTTGAAATTAAGAGCTTCCTTTTAAATTCTAAACTGAACAAGACTGCTCGTATACCAGGGCAAAGCGCTGAATGTTCCGACAGTCCCTTAGTTCATATCGGATAGTTTTTAAGAAAATAAAATATTGAAAACTTTTAAATTTTGGACAATATCAAAGTGTGAAATGTTGAGTCGTACGAAATTAATACGACGGATCTGATTAGCTAGCCTCAATGGGGCAGTACAACAAAGCCGAAGTACAACAGTGCCCTCAGCAATGCCGAAAATGAAAACTTTGTTCAACACTTCAATGGGGTATAAAATTTTTTTGTCGAAAGCTATTAATTCGATCGGTTAAAATTGACTGAATAAAAAAACCACACCTAACATAAATATTCCATTTTCTTCGAAAGTCGGAGCAAAAACTCATTGCATATATCTCTTTTGATACTTCAAACCTTGCCAGCACTTATGATTTAGCCGAAAAATCTTTGCCCGCTTTAAGTTGCGTCAATTCAAGAAAATCGTGTCAGGACATTTGTGTCCCAGACATTTATATCCCGGCAAAAACAGTCCAAAATGCAAAAAGTGTCCAAGACATTTGGTTCCCAGACGAAATTGTCCCAAAATTGTCCAGGCTATTGCCACACTACTTAATGACCGGATTAATTTGATAAGCTCTCAATAGGAAGGATTAAATCGATAAGGCCACGCAACTGAGCACTTAGACCAGAAACTACTTCGCGCAGCAAATTAGAGACGAAATTAACACAAATTTATCATTTCGGACTGGTTTGTCAAGGACACAAATGTCTTGGACACAAATGTCTATGCACCCAAGAAAATACACCCATAATTTAAATGGTTTTCACTAAAACGCATTTATTTTGTCGAAAACGCAATTTGGCTAAATTAAATGGCTATCATCAATTAAAGATGGCTATCATCGATCAGCGTGTGATTAAAGAATTCAACTTTCTCACGAGATACTCATTCAATGTTAATCAAAGAAACACCCTTTTTATTTTGAATTTGAATGAAAATTGAACAAAAACAAGCAGATAGTGGAAAAAAAGTTTTGTATATTTAAGGAGTGATCATTGCCCAATACTTTTACTTTACCTTTACCTATCCTACCTTAAAGAGGACCTTAGCTAATTAGCTAATAGCCACTTAGCTAATGAGTACCTTTGATTAGCTTTTTTCGGTCGTTCGTCATACTTATTGATTGATTGATATTTATTTGCTTTTTAGTTCGTAGAATTTTGCGTTTTCAAATGTTATCCAGAATTTGAAACAATTCAATCCAATTGATCAATTCCAAGTAAAAAGGGAAAAGAATTAGTCAAATAGATGCGAGGGTAAAGTGAAAACACGTCAACTCATATCAATTTTGTCATCAATTAGACAGATAGCAAAGGTGTTTCAACAAATCCATTTCATTGCACAAAAGAATAAGCCTATTTTTAAATGTGAAGTTAGATTTTTAAAAGAGAGGTGTGAACGAGGTGTGAATTTCACAGATTTCAGCAATTAATTATGTTGGTGTTTGGAGTGTAGCACTTAATTCAGTAGTACAGTCATTTGATGTGATTGGTTTGATTTGTTCGCACGCCTTTCGTGTTCTGTTCAGCCATTGAGAAACGATCGTTTTTCCTGCCAGGATTTCATTGACTGATGAGCGTATTGGGATGGATAGATCTCAACTGCTCTCAATTCTGACGCAGATCTCTTCCCGTTCAGAAATCCAGATCGCTTATGGCCAACTGGTCGTCCGAAAGTCTTCTCAGAGTAACCACTGCCTCCAGAACCCCCACCCACCATTAGGGGGTCCTCAATAAAAGCCCCCGCTTGTGCTGCCAATCGAGTGAAGCTATTGGTGGGGTCGTTGAAGGAATAGGTCGGGGTTGAGGGGTACTCCCTTTGGAAGGGAAATGTACTACTTCCGGTCATCATCGCACCGCCGCTGGCACCCCTCAATCGCTTCATGTGGGTGGGGGAGGGGGAATCGAGGTTGGAATACATATCTGACTCGTAAAGAGGCTGAAGCAAAAAAAAAATTCGCGGTGAAATTATTCTTTTTTTAAATCATGCTATTTACATAATATTGATTTTAATCACCTCGTTTAAAGCGAAAAAAATTGTTCATTTGTTTTTTTTTCGACCGAATTATCTAGTACCGCGACAAGTTTAGCTCTAAGTTTAGCTCAATCTGTTAAATGAATAATTAAGTGCCTGTTCATCTATAAGCGGCTCTAGATTTTATACTAATGGCAGTTTACGTTTGTTTTTCATCAAAAAGTTTGCCTTAAACTCTAAAATCGCAGGGTTGAATCTTTGGCTATAAAAACCAGAATTAGTATTTGATTTTCAAATACACAAACAAGACTGCTCGTATCAGGGCGAAGCCCTGAATGTTCCGACTGCTTTGTAAGGTTTTATGGAGCAGTAATATCATTAAAAATTAAATGTAATTAAATAAAAAAAAAAATTTTTTTAAATTTGAATTTTTTTATGAAAATCATCCCCCCACACGCCATTTAAAGTACAAAAAGATAGATTCAGCTCCTTGTAACAATTCAATTATGGCAAATAAGCTTCTTTCAACCATTTTGGAACGATTTTAAGACGGATTAACTCTCCGCTTACGCGTTAATAGCGCGAAATATATCGCGCGTTAATTGTCCCAAATTGGCCAAAATGGCAATATTTAAACCCCCATAACTTTTCAAAGAATAATCACAGCTGGAAAATCTTTTTAAATCTGATCTCATAACAACAGTACCTTTCAAATGATAGATAAAAACTGCAAGTTAAGAAGTCGAAATTTGACTGGAAAGCAGAAGTATTCCGTCATTTTCTTCGAACATAGTCGAAAAAAAACAATTTGGTGGCCCTTGAATGATTTTTTAAACGATTTGCATTCCGAGTTGATCTCTATAGACCACAAATAATGCTGGCCATTTAACTTCATAAACAAGGTCTGTAAAAAAACTAATCATAAAATTTTCATACACTTTGCTAAAAAAGTTTCATGGAATTTTAGAGCATCTTTTTTCTTGTTTTGGCATTTAAGCTGGTGTATAGTAATAAAAAAAAAGAAATAATTTTTATCGACAATTGCAAATCAAATTACAATTTTCATATATATAATAAAACTCTATCATAGACTTTATATGCATTCTGTAATTATGGAATTGCATGAAAAGAGTATGATTAGCGCTTTTCCATACATGAAAAAATTTTGATCAACTAATTATAAAACTAAGCCTGATTAGTTTTGAATTGAGATTGTTCAGCCTTTAACACTTTATCTACTCTCAGCTTAATTAACATCTTTTTTCATTGATCATTCCAGTTAATTTTTTCGTTAAAATCAAAGATTAGATGTTTTCCCTTGAAAAAAATCTAGAACATCCTAGAAGGGTCTACATTATCCATAAAACGATGAAGCTAAAGCCGATATACAATTATGTGATAAGAAGACGTATTTGCAAGAAGGAATCTTATGACAAAAAATTGGCGAATGCGAAAAAATAAGACATTAGTTTAATTATTCAACGCACAATTTATTGAATTTTTTTATAAGCTTCGAAAATTAAATTCAGCGTTTTCTTCACTTCGTTTCCGAGCTCTTTTGATAGATTAAAATTTTTCCGTTTCTTAATATAGTTTTGGTAATTTTTGCTAAAAGAGCAGGTCCTAAAAATTTTTAATAACCAATAAGGTTTTTTAGCGTTCATTTCCCTTTGGTGCAAAAACCACCACTATGGTCATCAGAAATTAGTTTTGAGAATACCCAAAAATATATGCGTGTTCAAGTTGCTTGTTAAAAACCTTTTTCTTGTCATTTTAGGTATTGTTGTCTTGAGTTCAAACCTGTAGAACTTACCCGGAATGTGTTTTTGGCCTCAGAAGTTTTTTCGCGAAGTGGCTCGAAAATTAAAGAAGATTCAAAAAGGTTGCCTCGATGATAAAACTAGTCTGAACCTTTCGGTTTTTCAGACCCGCACCGAGCGCCCAATGATTTATTTGGTTAAAATGGATTTCCTAGACAAAAATATTTCATCATAATCCTTTAAAGATCATGATAGTCATGACAATTGATTTTTTTGGAAAAAAAATCCATTATAACCTATTTTTCAATGCTGAAATCAAATATTTTATCAAGATAATCCACAGTAAAGGAGTGCTTTTTAAAAAGTAATAATTCATTCAAAACCTTCGATAACCGATTATAATCCTTAGTCTGCTGAATACCTACAAAAATTATATTGTATGTTAAACACTGATTGTGCTAAAAAAACAAATGCCATTCGCGACAAATAAGTTGTGGTAAAATAAATTAAGCAAAATGTTTAACTGCCATGAAATCAAAAACTCGAGAAAATAATTTATTAAAACTAACGCAAAAAATAAAAAAAATACAGATTAAGAAAAACGTAGCAACTTAAACAAACAGCAAAAAGTTATTCAGAAGAAAAATGTAAAACCCTTCAAAAAATTCCATTAATATTGATTATAATGGTTTAAATTGTTATAAAAAATTAAAATTGAACCCATTTGTAATGGATTATAATTGAGTAAGTAGAGTTTCTTAGATACTGGTTATAAACTGACAATATAATTTAATACGATACATGGGCGCTCGTTGCGGGGACCTGTACTAAACTTATAACAGTGAAATTATTGTTCATGCGTTTACTCTTTGCATTTTATTTTCATTTTTAATGACTACGCAAAGTTTTTTAAGATGCTAACATAGGTTTATATCTATCCAAATAAGAGGCCACAATTTTCAACCATTGTATTTTTTCAATTAAAAGCTTTAAAGCTATTTACAAAAAACTGAGTTTTTGTATTTCAAACTACGTGAAGTTTATCTTGAATTTACGTTTCTTGAATGTATTTTCTTATCTCAATTCTACTGATAATGATTTTGAATCATTATCATACCTCAATTTGTGTTTTTATTATAGCCTCTGTAATTGAAGTTTTGAAACCTGAAAAATCTTCATATGTTTAATCTGCGTTACTATAGTACTGTTTCCATTTGAGAAAGTTCGTGGTTGCTGTGTTTAATGGCAAAACACAAAAATACACAACAAAATTAAAAAAACGTATATGTGTTTTCATTTAGGGACAATTGTTTATCATACAATTCTTTTCATGAAAAATTTGTTGGTCAAGTTGTTTTAATACCAATTGCTTTGTTCTACAGAATTGCATGAAATTGTATAATAAAAATTTTTTCTATAAATAAAAACTGTAAGACTCGAATTTTTTTTTCATGTCAACATGGGTATTATTATTTGATTTAGCCTGTAAATTTTTAATAGCTCAGATGATTTTTTTGTTGCAGTTGAATTTTTTTAAAAAAAATTTGTTTCATGTGAATTTTCCAGAATTTTTTTTTGGTGCGAGTGATCTTATGAAGTCAGCTCTCACCTGGGCACCTGTTGGACGGAGGAAGAAAACGCTGATTGCACAAGAGAGCATCAGCACCAAGCCCACACTCACCCCCCTCTTGTGGGGGGATAAGGGGTGGGCGGCAGTTAGTGACAGAGAAACAAGGGGTCTGTTTCTGCCAGATTTGCTCACTCCGTTGTTGCCAGACATCGTCGGACCTGATGTATTCCCCCCTGATCTGCTGCTGCTGCTGATGATGATGCTCCCCTTCGCGACTGAAGATGCCCCCTTCGCTCTGTTTTGACCCTGGTTGGTTTTATTGGAACCCTGTTGTGTCTGAATTTGTGCGGTCATAGAAGCCATTCGTAATCTTTTAGATGCTTCTTCTGTGAAGGAAAAAAAGTGTGTTGGTATATAACGAACGACCCGTCGCGACTTAACTAAAAATTGAGGTCTGAATTTAAAAATGGATAAATGCTTGTTTGCTATACTTAATTTCTTCTTTAATTCACAAAGACACAACCCATTGGCCCATAAAATTAAGCTCGCTTGGGGGCTTTTGCATTTTAATTGGATGTAAAAACTATTCTTTTTTCTGTCTATTTTTTGATTGAGAAGTACTCCTACCTAAGCAGAGTTCTTGCTCTTCAGCTTGGACTATTTTTAGCATGATATTATTAGATCATTGTTATTTATTCATTGAACACACTTTCATACCCGCTAGAAGATTTCTCCTATCAATACCCTCTCAATTATTCAATTTGGCACGAATACATATACGATTTCAACAAAAATGTGTTCATTAATGAAATATAAGAGCAGATATCTTTGATTTTGTATACAGTTATTCTTATATGGTGTAAGTGTAACTTCCAGGTCAATAAATATGTCGGCAATCAGAGAAGAAAGAAATAATAAAAAAATAGCCCTATGGCATCTCCTACCTACACCAAATTTACAAAGAAATCAACCTTCGTAAAAATGTATCACACGTTTGCCTCGATTGACATTTTTAATCATAATTAAACTCCATAAATGGTTAGCAACGAGTCATGCATTGCTTTACATAATGTTAAAACTGAAACAAAAATTATAAAATGTAGGCTTGAGCAAAAAAAACTCGAGCGGACGCCCCTCCCCTCAGAGATTCGATCCCCTACCGACCCAAAGGGTACCACCTTTATACTATTTTGATATATGCAGTTTGGTGACGGACCCTAAAAATTTTCTAAAGGCGCATTTGGCGCCAATATATACTAATTTTGAGGGGGGAGCGCAACAAAAAAAACGCGATTTTTTGGTCAAACGTTTCCTAAAAGTGCCTAAAAACGCCTTTTTGGACTGTTTATAAAAAATTTTGGCTGAGGCGCTGAAATTTTGACCAAAACAAGGTCTTTTCAAAGATTTGGAAGAGCTCGGAAGCTCAATTTGGTCAACCTAAAAAAAGCCGACAAAATTTTCAAAAAAGTTTTGAAAATCCGCCCCTTCCCCCCTCAAGAAATTCCTAGATCCCCCCTGCTCAAATGTACAAGTCTCTACAAAAAATGATCCCAGTCATGAGAGAAATCAAATTAAGTTTCTACCGTTTTAGACTGGCCAGGTCTAGTCATCGTGAAAATCTTGCCAAGATCTTGAAGAATCTTGAGGATTTATCAAAGATAGCAAAAAATCATTGAAAATTTTTACATGTTTGATAAAACTTTTAACCGTCTAAAATCATAAACACATCTCCAGAAACCTGTATGATGGCTCTGCAGCCCACCAAGCGAATTTGAAGTTTTCTTTAAAATCTTGGAAAGATCTTCAAGATTTTTCAAGATTTTTAGAAGTTTCTTAACGATCTTTAAAGAACTCTTAAAAAAATCAGTTCTAAAATTTCATACACAGTTTTGCAAACTTTAAGGAGAGAAAAAATTTTTTCAGCAAACTTAGGTACCACTAACAAGAATTGAAGCAAAGTTTGAGAAAATTGTCAAAAAATCTATATTTTTATTATTTTTTTTTGTTTTCTTCTGATCGAATTATTGCTTTTGTGCTTAACATCAAAAATTGAGTTCTGCACTGATAATATTTAGTTAGTTCAAGGTCACAATGCTTCATTTCTTAGCTCATATTTTACATATTTTAGAACTACCTTTTGAAGCGCTCGCAACCCCCGATTTCAAACTAATCTTTGTAAAGTCTTCAAGGTTCTTTGCAACCTTTGTTTTTTGTCTTCAAGATTTTTTACCGGTCTTAAAGATTCTTGACACAACCATACCAAGTTTTTTTGAAATATTTTTCTTCAAGATTTTTTCAATGAATCTTGAAGATTTGTCAAAGATCGCAAAGAATGCTGGGCGTGGGTGATTAAGTATCTCCCCCCCCCCCCCCCCCCTAAGTGACCTACCGTAGAATGTACTTCTCAAGCAGGTATTAATTTTCAGCATAATTCCGCTTAAAATAATCATTTCCAACAAGCGCGCTGAATATACTCCCGCACAAAAAATTTTATACTGAATAGCTATCTTATTCTGTTATTGACCTAAAATATCAATCATTAATTGGTTTCGATCAATTTTTTGTTTAATTGGATCAATTTATTTTGCGCTCGAAGTCAATTAAAAAAATAACCAATATTTTATACCCCGTTAATTGATTTGTGGAGAAATTGTACGGTTGAGGCTGTTAATTTACTATTAATTTGCCAATCTTGCTTTTTTAAACCTAATTCACAGCAAAATTAAGTTGAACTTTGTTTTATTAGTAAGTTCAGGGCGTATATATCATTGAAATGCCGAGAAAAAAATCGTTTAGTTTCTACACTATGAAAAATTTAGAATTGGTCTGAAGGTATTGGTCCGTGGTTTTCCATGTAAAGCAGATGTTGCTAAAAAATTATTTCAAATTTCGCAAAAAAATAAGGAAACGGTCTAAATGAAATCAAAACTGCTCGCATTAGGGTAAAGCCCTAAATGTTTCAACTGCTCTTTACCTGGTATCGGATAGTTTTTGATAAATTAAATATTGGCCAAACTATGCATTATAGGCTGATGTTATCAAAAACTAAGGGATACAATTTGAGTCGTGTATGCTTTTCAATAAATTCTCAGACTTCTACGAATTCGAACTGGGAATTAACTTTGGTTTCGAAACCCTAAACAAAGAATGGCAAGTTTTTCTCCGCCATAGCAAACTTGTTCTGTTATGAATAATTGTTCCGACTTTCGGGGTGTTTTTTTTCTCCTGGCGATTTTTGACTTTTCAATTAGGATTTAAGATATACTTATATCAGCAAAAAGGTTGCGTTGTCGTTAGGTCAAAATCAAAAAGATTCTACGTATGATGATTTTCGTAAAGTTAGGTGGGTTTAAAGGTTGTCATTAAGGCTAATTGTGCACAGCTAACGCGCGATATTATTCGCGCTATTAAGCCGTGAGCGGAGAGTTAATCCGTCTTAAAATCGTTCCAAAATGGTTGAAAGAAGCTTATTTGCCATAATTGAATTGTTACAAGGAGCTGAATCTATCTTTTTGTACTTTAAATGGCGTGTGGGGGGATGATTTTCATAAAAAAATTCAAATTTAAAAAAAAAATTTTTTTATTTAATTACATTTAATTTTTAATGATATTACTGCTCCATAAAACCTTACAAAGCAGTCGGAACATTCAGGGCTTCGCCCTGATACGAGCAGTCTTGTTTGTGTATTTGAAAATCAAATACTAATTCTGGTTTTTATAGCCAAAGATTCAACCCTGCGATTTTAGAGTTTAAGGCAAACTTTTTGATGAAAAACAAACGTAAACTGCCATTAGTATAAAATCTAGAGCCGCTTATAGATGAACAGGCACTTTCTTAGAAATACAGTGCTGATTTACCTTAACCGAACAAAACGAGCTAAGCTTGAAATTCAAAACGCGTTTTTCTCAAAATTGGGTTGATTTTAGGTGAAAGCTTATGAAGACAAATTTGCTTAAAATTTTAGCAGAATTAATATGGTGTAATTTGTTTTGCGGAATTCGGGCCCAAAATTTTAACCCAAAAATGGTTCGTTTTGGCTTTTCTTAGTTAATAGAAAATTATGCCAAAAGTACCCAGACGATCACAGACATAATTATATCAAAATGAGCCTCTTACATGGCCCAACAAACTTTTAGAAGAGTATATTCTCCAAAACATTGTATAAATCAATGTATTTTTGCTTGATATACAAAAAAGGTCGTTTTTACTATATAAAATACCAACTTTTTAGTTAAAAACAATTTTTAAACGGTTTGCAAATTTTTTGGAGAATATACCCTTCTTAAAAATTTGTTGGGCTACGTAAGGGGCTCATTTTGATATAATTATGTCTGTGATCGGCCGGGTACTTTTGGCATAATTTTCTATTAACTAAGAAAAGCCAAAATGACCCATTTTTGGCGTAAAGTTTTGGGCCCGAATTCCGCAAACAAATTAAACTATATTAATTCTGCTAAAGTTTTAAACAAGTTTTGTCTTCTTAAGCTTTTAGCTAAACTCAACCCAATTTGAGAAAAACGAGTTTTAAGTTTCAAGTTTAACGCTTTCGTCCGGTTAATTTAAATCAGCACTGTAGCTCCAAGTTGGTTGAATTAGGCTTGTCACGGATGCTACAACACTAAGAGCAAAATCTATCACTTTATACTTTTTATGGCGTGTGGGGGATAATTTGAAAAAAATCTCAACAATTTTTTTTTTCATTTTGATTAGGAAAGTTCATCATTTTTTAAACGAAACACTGCCACATAGACCTTTTAAGGCAGTCGGAACATTCAGGGATGCGGCTTGATACGGGCAGTCTTTTTATATTTCAAATGGAGCTCGATGAAAAAAGTTCAAATTGAGGTTTTTCGGAACGAGCTTTTGTGATAATTGATTCGTTAATTTAACCATCGACTCAACATCGACAAGAGGATACCAACTATCAACCAGTTTTTCATTTGCAATTCTATTCACAGTATCTTTTCGGGAAATTGCAAGTTTGCGGACCAAATGAGAGTCGCACAGTATCATTGTTGTGTTTTTTTTTTATCTCAACTCTGCTTCGCAAAAGACAACAGCTACGAACGCAGTTTAAGTTATTTCAATTGAAATTTTTGAATTTTGAAAACACCGATAACTCTTTTGAAAATTTTTTCCTTTGCAGTTCTGTTTGAGAAAAAATCCTGGAAAAAATTGCAAAATTGAAGACCCAGACATAGCCATACATTTTTTTGCTGTTTTTTTGAGCACAATACGACTTCGCAAAAAGTAAAAGCACAGAAAAAGTCTTCTAGAGAATTCCAACTATGTTGCTAGAACCCATTTGAAAAGTAAACAGCCAAGAAGCCTAAGTTCAACATAAGGAAGACAAGCTGAGGACAGGACACAGAAAACCTGGTAGAA